CAGTCATTGTTACAAGTAAACCACATTCCACAACAGTCACTAACACTGGATAAAAAACAGTACATAGAAAAAAAACAAGTAACTCAACTCATCATGATCACAATTACTATTCTTTGAAAGAAAGAAATACAAAAAAGAAACTGACCAAAAAACGTAAAACAAGAGACGAGGAATCTCCGTTATTAATTAGTCCCGGTATTGAAATGTTCTCCAACTACGTGATAATATTTTGAGTATGTGCATCTGTGGTTGTGACAAAAAGACCTTATATAGTATGACTTTTTTGCCATATGGAGCCCTTAGTATTTTCATTTACATTATTATAACCAAATGCCAAGTGTAAAAAGAATGTGATCTATTATTTGAGTATGTGCATACAATGTTGTTGGCAGTTTTGAAACTATTTCCACATGTTTACATTTGTGCCATAAAAAGGCTTCCATTTCCTTCGATCTACTTTTTAAATAAAGACCCAGGTTAGAATAGGTCTTCAGCAACCTATGCTTGCCGTAAGAGGCGACGAACAGGATTGGGTAGTCAGGCTCGCCGATTTGGATGATCTGGTCCAGACTGGATTATTTACAGACCGCCGTCATATGGCTTGAATACTGCTGAGTGCGGCGTTAAACAAGAAACTATTTTTAAATAGACCTACCCTATGCAAATGTATCAAGTGTATTGCCCAATACTCAAAATAAATTTTTAGAAATTCCACAACAGCGTTGTGTTATTTGTGGTTAATATAATTATGCTCCATCATGCCTTTCAGTAACATCATAATTATGCGTTTGTGAGGCTTCACATATGGCGGGGAACTTTGATGCACTGCATCAATGTTTTCTAGTCAATAATGGGATGGGTGATGAGTTCAACTGCATGCCGAGGCTCTACGCTGTGATTAACAATAATGCTCTGAGTCAATACATTTTGTCAAATGTTTGACATGCATTACCTGTAGGAACATATTATTGATACTCGTCCATGTTTTTGACGGAAAAAATAACTTACATGCTCGGTAATAGCGAGGACTGGCGTCATTGTGTGTTTCCGTGCTTTGTTCAGGTGAACAATTGACGTGTCTTTGCATGTGTTTGTGATGGGTGTCACCTGGGTGGCAGAATACGCTCACCTTTTTGCGAACACCCGCTGGATGTCCTGAACCACTTTGGATTTTTATCCCACATCAGTCTGATACGCCGTGATATAACTGACATACTGTTCAAAGTGGTGTTTAATGCGCTCACCGTATTGTGTTACTTCAACTGTCCAAATTATGTGTAGTGATGTTATGTAATATGTAAAAGAAAGCATATTCATTGATCCAGTTGATTTGATCAGAATATACTTGCGTCAGTGTATTTTATTAACGCCCCAAACCGTATTTGTTAAACATATATGATAACACTTGACTTACCACTAGCTTTATTATGCCATCCCGGAATAAAATAGTTCACCTAAAAGAGAGGTCACATGAGCGTACGTGTGCTCAAATTGCTTTTCAGGAACATCAGGTTCCTTACAAGAAATGTATTCCAAAAATATCCTCATTAGATGAGAAGGTCTGTTAAGAACTACCTCAGTAAGTCAATCACAGTGACAGAGAGTCGTAATACATTTACATCAAGTACAAGACGTCAAAATGCAAGCCTTTGTCATCACTGATCAATTGGCCGATCATCAGGTGATTGTTAAGATGTGTCAAATAGATACTAAGGTAAATTCATAGATTGCTGTAGACTGTCACTACGATAGTTTGGAAGTGCTTTGCTCCGGGGTTTTATTTTCTCTAGGATGGGTTGTAGCGAGGGTATCCTTGAACGGGCATGCAATCGAACTCTCTGACTTATCCAAGTGTATGCTAAGGCGCTAAGTTCAAACTTAAAGGGTCTAAATGATGAGAAACAACGCTTCTGTATGAATTCGTGCAAGGGAATTCACAGGGTTTTCCCCAGGAATGTGGAAGTAGTCAGTGTTTACGTCATTTCAAGAATACAGTCAAGTGAAAAACGTCATGTGACCGACCTTTCGTCCAATGGAAAAGCCGTATATCGTGTAAACTTCACATTAAAAAATTAGTTACTGTTATAACCAAATAAAACAACCCATTATCCGATAGAGGTAACTGTGCATAGCGGAGGGAAATGATATCTCATTAAACTTGATAACATGGTTTGGTTTGACTTCTTGGCGCGTGTCTGAATTCCATTAATAGGTTTCATATCCTAAAACTGACTTATCAGCAAATCTCGCTGCACTGCCCGCGACAGATACTAGAGCAAGGCATGCCAGAAATACGAAACCAAATGCTTCCGAAAGGAAGTCTTGCGCATCACCTGCGTCGGGGGACCAGCGCCATCTGATTGGCCGTTAACAGTTGTACAAGGCGGAGCCAAAAAAATCGTTTTTCCGTCCATTTTACGCTTGAAAAACTCGACACTTTTCCGGACACTTTCTCGACGCTCACCAATTAATCAATTTTGATGAATTTTTAGTCGTTTTTCCGTCCAATGACCATATTCGGAAAAAACGACGTTTTCGTGTTTGCAGTGACATCTACCCAGGATGACCGAAGTCTTGTTGCCTTGATGTCCAATATCTACCAAGGTTGACCAATGGCCGTGTTGCCTTGATGTCCCACATCTACCCAGGATGACCGGGTACCGTGTTGCCTTGATGTCCCACATCTACCCAGGATGACCGGTGGCCGTGTTGCCTTGATATACAACATCTACCCAGGATGACCGGTGGCCGTGTTGCCTTGATATACAACATCTACCCAAGATGACCAGTGGCCGTGTTGCCTTGATGTTCCACATCTACCCAGGATGACCAGTGACCTTGTTGCCTTGATGTCCCACATCTACCCAGGATGACCGGTGGCCGTGTTGCCTTGATATACAACATCTACCCAGGATGACCGGTGGCCGTGTTGCCTTGATATACAACATCTACCCAAGATGACCAGTGGCCGTGTTGCCTTGATGTTCCACATCTACCCAGGATGACCAGTGACCTTGTTGCCTTGATGTTCCACATCTACCCAGGATGACCAGTGGCCTTGTTGCCTTGATGTTCCACATCTATCCCAGATGACCAGTGGCCTTGCTTGTAAGAGGATAAACTACGTCTACTACAAATGACAGGTTGTGTGCTTTTGGGGTAACGGATGTTGGAATCCTTCGATGCGATGTAGAGACGACTGTATTATGTAGTCGCATTTAAAAGATACATCTGATCAATCGGTTTCAAACTGCCACCTTGACAACTCTGGCGATTCCATGACTTCGCCGAACAGCGTCTCAAGTTGTGTGAAGTCGACTGCTCCAAGGAAGCGTTAGAGAGCATCCATTTGATTTGTTTTGAAAACAATCTATTTTTCCCATTTATATCCAACAAACTTTTATTCAATGAGCACCATCAAACAATCTATTCATTTTCAATATTAACACAAAATATATAACGTTTGGGTACTGTTCCCAAAACTAACTATTCATTTTGTTTCACCACTGCCAACAAACTAATCATTTTGGGCGTATTTCTGACCAAACTATTCATTCAAAATATCTTCCTTCCACCCGTAGGTACATCAACGACGTGGTTCATTGGTTGCTCATGATGCCAATCACTGGATTGTTTGGTCCAGACTCGATTGTTTACAGGCCGACGTCTGAATGAATGAATGATGTTTATTCTCGTAAATCACGGCAGTGATACAGAGATGTAATTGGATACAGGAATTAGATACAATAGGAGAAAACATGTCAGTGGAACATTACTATACATGATCTTATATAACTCGCTAGTTTTAATAGAATTGGCTTATTAGGTAATGGACATCAAATGAGAGAATTTTATGGCAGAAGGATACATACAGTAGTATTGAGGTAAAAACGTGTTTCTAATTTCTGAGAGTTTTGGACATTCTAATAAAAAATGCATTTCATCACATATCAATTTTTTACACAATGTACATTTTCTTTCCTCTCTTACAATATTATACCATCTTCCTGTTTCAATGGGTAATCTATGATTTGCTGTTCTAAAACGAGCAAGGGAGATGCGTAAGGTGATTGGTAGTTCTAGTAAAAAAGGTTCTTGGATGGTAACTCTTTAAACATGTTATAATAGTAACCTTTAGATGAATGGCAGGGGTATTGCTTGGTGCGGCGTCAGCAAACAAGTACACGCTTGCGTGTTTTACGAAACAGCATGTGAGTGGTGGGTGCTCCCGGTAAGGCAGGGCACACTTACCCTCTTCTCTGTCATCACTGATGTCCGGCTGCTTAAATCTAATAGTATGTATCCCTTTATCAAGTTTTACCGCTCATCTCCACTAAATAGGACACTTCGCCTACTTGAGGCGCGATGTTATTACACACTATGACCTTCACAGTGATATCACAGTGATATCTCCTTACTCACTGACACTTACTTCAATTCAAATAATCGAGACTGATTTCTAAATTTACTCCCAATTGTTCACGTTCAGTGGAGCATATCTAACAAACACTTGATGTATAGTCATGGATGTTTATTCTTCCAGATATATGTTGACTTCTGTGCTTATTGACACAGCTATGGATGTAACAGTTAACAGGGAAAAGTTCATGCATTTGGATTCAACTTTAATACAGTTTCCAAAATTTGACGAACAACCGTAAATTGGAATAATATTATACAACCGTATGTCTTTATATTGCACAGATTTCAGATAATGTTATATGTTAAATTAGCACTTCTGTCTTTTATCATAGATTTGACCATAAAGCATGATGAAATTGAAGCATTCTTCCATCTACGAACAAAGCTTGTCATATGTCACATTGACCTATTGTCTGTACTCTGCAATGATTAAATGAAGTGCCCGAACACGGTCGAACAGCAAATATGTTTGGAATAGTATACAGTCACTTGCATGAACAGCCCTTGTCAGTCAAGACATAGATTTGCTCCGCCTTTTCTCCTTTTATGGAAAGCTTTCCGCGTAAACATGACGTAACAGAGCAGATAAGCGCATGTACATACTGTTATGAACAACCGCCCTACCTGCATATGTATGTCAACCGCATTTGACGGAACCGCACTTGACGGAACAAATGTAAGTATTTTAACTCTACCAGCTTATTTGGTTGTCGTAGAAGTGATCAGTGATGATTTGAATCCATGTAACACTAATGTTCAATGTTATCAATTCCATCGCCTGTCCGGTTGTATCGGTGTTCATATGAAGGTGACACCAGGCTGGATATAATGTGGTGAGATATAACTAGATATGATCCCACAAGAATGGTGATACATGTTTCTTTGGGATCTCGGAAGTATTTTCATTGTCTTTTAATTTTGAAAGCCGCTTGCTTGTCTCAACTGTGGAAAGAATACTGAATGATCATAACATTAAAAAATGGCGAAATGATACCATGTCAAGTTCTAAATGCACATATTACCAATATCTAAAACAAACACCTTCAATTAACAGCTACATATTTTGGCCCAAACATTTAGCCTATCCTATACATAGAGATTACTACACGAGTGTCTATCAGATACCATTGATCTTACAACGAGTTGTTTCAAAACGTATCTAACGAGCGAAAGCGAGTTAGATACGCTTTGTAACAACGAGTTGTAAGATCAATGGTATCTGACAGACACGAGTACAGTAATCTCTATGTATAGGATAGGCTAAATGTTTGGGCCAAAATATGTAGCTGTTAATTGAAGGTGTTTGTTTTAGATATTGTGTTTCTTACACACCCTAAAATCGCACCTTTTTAGCATCGAACCGATGAATTTTGTCTATTCTTATGATTGCAGTAGCGCATTAATACATAACACCTCTGTCATAAGTGACGTCATCCTATGTGCTGCCTACTACTCATAAATAATGTGACCCTACACAAAAAGGTTTCCGTCATATATGTGGATTATCAAGGCGATGATGAAAATGCAAACTAGACAAAAACCAAGAACACACTGTGTGCCAAGTTGAAAGTTTACACCTCAAAGAAATTACCAAATATGTACAACAATGTTTACTTCCGTATGACATCACTACCGGTGACCGACTTTTACAAAATGGCGTGTTCACTGACAACAGTACGCGTGATTTCCAGAGGAGGTTTTCGTTGATTTAGGGATCGTATACACATAAATGTGGCACGTAAGTAATCAGAAACATTCTGACAATCTGCGTACTGTTATTTGTTTACCATGTTTTCCAATGTAACAAAGAAAATTAGTCAGAAATGCAGACAACTACCGTCATCGTTGTGCGTGATTTAGCGTCAGTCATGGCGTCACACAGGACGGAAACTTTTACGGCTTCTGTTGAATTTACCACATCATTGTGATGTGTATATGTGTGTATTTCCATAATTAGTGCAACGATACTCTTCCCAAGAATATTCTCAAACGCGTGATGGAGCCAATGTATGCAACAATTAGTCGAAAGTACCTCTAAAAATGATACACAGTGTAAAATCTGAATTTTGCTTTGTTTACATTTCAGCAAGTACAGTTTTCCGAGCACAGTTTTCGTTTCCATACATAATTTATTTCGCATGATAATTTGCATTGGTGACAAAGATCATTTATCCATTGTTTCGAAAATGTATGAGGAATTCAGGGATGCATGTATAGCAGCTGAGTTTGAAATATACCTGATCGAATAGGCGTCTCATAACCGGCATTTTGTAAACACAGTCCAATATGGCGGATCGTACACTTCGGCGTTCGTGTATGCGTATTTTCCAAAACATTCTAAACGATTCTAGGCTTATCAGCGACGTTTCAGAATTATCATTAGTGATGTGATACCCGTGATCACTAATATGCTATTTTTCTACCTTAATTATTCGAGTAAATATCCAATATTTAGATTTCTAAACACACGGTAAATATTTATATAACGCCTTGAATTGTGATTTGGCGAGTTTTGCAATGTACCTAACTTTAAGTCACTTTCAGTAATTTTGAATTGCCTAAAATGACAGTAAATGATAAACAGAAGGGGAAATTCAAAACTGTGAAGATTCTGTGTGATGTATTTTGAATTTTATTCGATTTCGAAGTGAGGTTTGAAGAGAATGGACATATGTGTCGCTGTGGCATCCAGGGGGTTTACACTCTGAAAAAACGATAATGTTGCCATACAACAGATAATGTAACTGATGATAATAACAAACAAACTCGCAGACGAAGACGAGTTGTTGTTTTTTATTATTAATTACACGGTCTTGCTGTTCAATACAGACGTAGGTGAACATTCGACTGAAGCACGAGCTACTTATGAATGAATTACACTCAGGAAAGTAGTCCGTCATCATCTGATAAAAACAATACCTTAACAACCTTAACTGCGTGCTTTGGGTAGACCAATTACCTGCCCATTGCGTGAAATGAGCAAACTGGTTGCCCATATTGTGAAATATTTGGAGACTTATTTTCATTTACAATTTTTGCCCATTGTCCGCAATGGGCAGTTGCACAGATTGGGTGTAACATATATATTATACTTATAGTAAACACACTAAAGCAGCTCTCACACTTTGCCGAGGTGGTTGCCGAGCTCTCCTGAGCCTAACACGATTAGAACTCGGGAAGAGACTACATAAATACCAGTACCGTACGAGTACGCTTCGAGTGTGTTACTAGCCCCATAAGAGCCCAATAGGAATCAAATAGGAGTCTATTAAAAGTTGCATACGAGCACAACGATCTCGATACGAGCTGTACGAGTTTGGTACGAGGTGGCTACGAGCTGCTAAATAATTCGGCTTATAGCTCGTATTAGACTCGGTCAACTCGGCAATACATTTTGCAAACGATCCTCATACGAATTCTGTGCGAGCACCACGAGGTCGCCACGAGGGTACTACGCGTAGGACGGGTGTGTTATGAGTTTGTTACGAGTTTCTTAGGAGTTGGCTGGCGGCCCGACTGTTTTTAGCAGTTCCCAAACACTCGTAGATCAGTACGAGGTATCCCGAGTTACTCCGAGTTTAGTACGACCTCGCTACGAGCTCCATACGAGTACCCCCGAGTCAACTCGGGTCCATACTCGGGACGCAACTCGGTAAAGTGTGAGAGCCCCTTAAGGTTTTTTTACCCCATGAAGTTACATTTTTTTAGTATGGTGGCTTATCTTTATTCAACATTATTCATATTTACTAAAATCCGCCTACCCCGTCTACGAAATACATTAACTTGAAGTGGACGTTAAACCCATAATGTCAGCCAGTCAGATAAATTTAGAGAATATAGCCATGACCCACCACACGCGCTGAAGGCGTGGTGGTCCGATAAAAATTTCCCACATAGGGCCATAAATCAATAAATTACTTTTTACGAAGACATAGGTTATCTCAATAAGTTACACCTCCCATTTGTCACATACCTCCATATCCCAGTTGTTACATATCATGTTGAACCCAGCTTAATATTGTTCACAACAAGCTATGACTCTACATTAATTGTACGGATAGAATTTAGAAAATAAATTAAAATGTTACAAATGCTATTTATTTACAAGGGGAACATGAAGACTTATACTTTTAAATAGACACTTTTAAGAACAAGAAATTGACATACTAAGTTTTTATTGATATTTATATAGGTGAATGCAAAATGTTGTTTTATGGTGAGATGCTCTGGTTATTGCTCTAAGTAGAATCCGGTACCAATCCAAATAAACAGTATGCAATGAAAAACGTCAAAACTGAACCGATGTTATGACAAGCAGTCGTATAAAACGTCTCAACTAGTACTGATAGTTATTAACAATCATGACATAATGATGATATCATTTGGCACACTCGTGGTATTTGAAGAACGAAAGTGGTATGTTCATACTTCAAAATGAACTGCTATTTTGCTGATAACTGTTTACTATAGTTGTGGAAAAGGACAGAACGTGGGTCAATCTGAAGCTTTGTTGGTAAATAGAAGCCGAAAATCATCGACCTTACTCGGCTCTGTTCGCCTTATTCCGTTAGTGACCATTCGTCACCACTTGCCCCTTTCCGTAACCTGCTATTTGGCTTGTCCCGGAATAACACGAGTTTGTCACGAATGCACCGGTGTGGGTTTATCACGTGACGTAATGTGTATATTTATCTATATGTGTAGACACATCCAAAGATGAAAAACACATGAATGGACTGTGTAAGATATGGCGATGTGACAGAGGTGGCCGAAAGGCAAGTAGTATTTTGTAAACTCATTCGTACGAAAAACAGACGAGCTTTCTGTCCAATATCCCTCTATTAAAAAAAACCAAGACTGAAGCCAGTTTACTCTACGCAAAGGCGGAAGAGTCACATAAAATACACTGTCTGTTTCTCTGGCAATGCCTGTCCAACGATGCTTAATATATAATAATAAGTACTATGAAATTAAACATTTTACTTAGTAGTGTGGTTTAATATACTAGAAAATAAAGTAGAGAGTAAGTAAATAATACCAATTTTACGTTATTAAGAGAACATTAAATATACCTATTACTTACCTAAGGTATTGTCTTATGTAGAGTAATAGGTTTGTAAAGCATAATGGGGGTAATAATGGATTAGAGTTAAGCTTTAATTTAATATAGGGTCCCAGTAAAGAAAGAAAAAGGGACAAAAGGCCTAAGTCTAGAAGCGCTGGGCTGGGGGCGTCGATGTAGCGACCAGAAGTGGGATACGACCAGAACTGGGATAAACAGTCCACAATTTCGTAAGACCCCATTTACTGCGGTAATGCTTTCGGTTAGCTCTAAAACGTATGGCGATATATATGCGGAATATGATTTAGTTTATGTTATTTTGGGGGACCATACTGAATATGATCTTTTGTATATTTTCATGTTCACATTCATGCACAAATGTCACTGTATATGTACGATATTTCTTTTCACAAATTATGTTACTTGTTAGAGGTGGCTTAGTTCAGTTGTTAGATGTTGCTTCGTGGAACAGATGTTGTGAGCTCGCCTTGCTAGGGTTGAAACAAGGGGAGCTGTCGATTGGTTTCTTCCTCAATGGTGAACTGCATTCGAGGGTTTTGGGAATTCAGGTGGTCCAATAGAGTTTTTGTATATATACTTACAAACCACACTCT